TATAGATCCTAAGTCTCCTAAACCTGAATCCATTTCATTGTTTTCCTCAACTTCATTGCACTACATTATGCTTAGTTCCTATATCCTTTGGTAATATTGCACCTGTCCAGTTGGTTCATTCAATCACGTTCAACAAAGATTCTCTGAGCACTTTCTTTGTGCTGGACACTGTTCTGAGTTCTGGAGATAAAGCCATGAGTAAGAGAGACAAAGTCCTTACCCTCATTCTAACTTGGGAGCCAGGGGGCAATATAAACACAATAAATCTAGATAAAAATAAGTACCCCCCCCCATCTCACACAGGGTAAAAGCCAGTGGCTTACAAGGCTCCACATGGTCTGGACAGCATTCCCCCCTCCCCATGACCGCTCTGACCACCTCTCCTATGATCCCCTCTTAATCACTCCACTCCAGCCACACACACCCTCAGACATGCCAGGCATTCTCCTTTCTCAGAACCTTTGCACTTACTGAGCTGCCGAAAACATTCTTTTCCCAGGTATCTGCATAGTTCACTTCTCACCTTCTTCAGATCTTTGCTTAAATATCATCTTCTAAGTAAAGCCACCTCTGAGCACCTTCTTTAAAATTGCAACCCCAGCACTCACGGCCACCCCAGCACTCCCTATCCTCCTGCCCTGCTTTAATTTGTTCCCTAGCATTTATACTATCTGATAGATTGTATGTTTTTGTTTGTTGACTGTCTCCTTCCCCTAGAATTTAGCTCCATGCGGGGAGGGATTTTTGTCTGTCCACTATATCCCCACATACCTAGAAAACAGGCACACAGTAGGCACTCAGTAAGTATTTGTGGAATTCGTGAGTGAATAAGAAGAAAAGAAAGAGAGTGGCTGGCTAGATTAGTCTGATCCAAAAAGTTCAGAAACATCAGACCTTAATGACAAAAGAAAGCAGCCACAGGAAGATCTGGAAGCAGAGGATCCCAGGCACAGGGTACAGTAAGTGCAAAAACCCTAGGATGGGATGAGCTTGGCATGTTAGAGGAAAAGAATAAAACCAGTACCTAGAGCCCAGTGAGAAGGAAAGTGTTATGAGATGAGGTTAGAGAGATAGATAGCTAGGGGTCAGATCATGTTAGGGCCTTTTATAGACAGTGGAAATGAGCGTAGGTTACTTTTGGGTTGCTGTAGGAATCCTGTGGGGGATTTTAAGCAGAGAAGTGATATAATCTAATTTATGAATTTTTTTAAATAAATCCCTCTGACTACTATTTGGAGAGTGAACTAAGTAGAGATAGGATTAAAGCAGGGAGAACATTTAGGAGGCTTTCATAATAATCCAGCCAAGAAATAATGGTGGCCTGGACTAGGGGTATAGCCATGGAGGTGGTAAAAAGTGAACAGATACAGAGTGTATTTTGAAGGTAGAATCAGCAGGAACTGCTAATGGAGTGGATGTGGGAAGTGAAGAAAACAGAAAAATCAAGGATGATTCCTACAATTTTGGCTTGAGCAACTAAGTGGCTTGTGGTACCATGTGGTGAGACAGGCAGGGGAGTGAAGGTGGAGGGAACAAGAATTCCATTTGGGCTGTGTGAGATTGAGGCCATTGGACACTCAAATGCACAGATCACATGAGCAGTTGGATAGTTAAGTCTAGAATTCAGTGGGGAGGTCAGGGCTGGCAATACAAATTCTTTGTTTCACAGAAGAGACAATAAAATCTCAACTTGACTCTGACCATCTGGAACTCTCAAGTACCTGGAATGTTTCCATTCCCTCTTTATCAAAACAACTTCTTAGATATATCTAGAAGGGATGCCATGCATTTAGCCTAGATGCTTGAAAATTATATTGGAATGATGGCCCAGATAAACCCAAATGGCCCCAATCACCAAAAAAAGTCAGTTCAAATATGTACAGTATACAAGACTTCCTAAAATAGGAAAGTACATTCAGACACTTTTGAACAACTAGCAACTGATAATAAAATTGAGTGGATATTCTGGTTAACCAGTTTCATCAGATAATTCAAGTAATGGGATCTCTCTCATATTCAAGGTAACTGAGGTTTTACTGTATTTTTTCTAGAATCCTTGGCCCAAAGGTTAATCCAGAGAGAATCTTCTCATCTTGGTCCTTTATGATTACACATGTATAAAATGTATATCAAATACACATTACTTCACCTGGCCCTCTTGTGAGAAAGTAGTCACATCCCCATTGTACATATGAGGAAACAGAGTCAGAGAAGTTAGAACTCACCGTATTCACAGAGCTTTAGATAGTGAAGCTAAGATTCAAACACAGTTTTTCTGACTCCAAACAAGTCCATTGCCCCTTTTACTACTCGCTCCCTCCCTCGCTGTGGGTCTTTTGGAAACTTCCCTCTTGGTATCATATCCAGATCTGGAGAATGCAAGCAGTATTAAGGTAAATATTTTTCACTGGCCCCTTATTGTGGCTAGTGAAGCCCTTACAGAAATAAGGGACTCCCTTCAAATAAGGGACTGCTTGTGTGTCGTGCTTTGAGGGGCCTCAGGAACCTCAGTGTGATCCCAAGAAATTCCCCTTCCCTAAGGCGCTCTTAGGAAGTTTCCAATAATGGCTGAAGCCATAGATCTGCCTGGACCCTCTTCTCTGTTTTGTATCACTTTTGCTTTCCTCTAGGTTTACTCTAACCACTCCCCAGTGTGCGTGTACACACACCCTCTCATACACCCCTCATCGGTTTTCTAGACACTTCTCATTTCGCAATAGTAACATCTATTTGACAACCTCAGGCATCACTTAGAGGCCAGTCTGGAGGCCTGCTGACAGGCTTTTCCATTGCCAAGCTGATTCCCTGGCTCATTGTGACTCCTCTTACTGATTGTCCTTCTTGCTTGCTGAGTTTTTTCCCATTGTAAATTATAGTTAAAGGCCTGATCCATTAAGATATTCAGCATTCTTTATCGAGTAGCACAGAAATTCCTGCTTGGCATTCAGCTCCAGGTAAACATTAGTCACTGTACACATGAATACATACACTCTCCAGTGTCAAGACACAGAAAAAGAAGCCATCATGTTTCCCTTAATGCCAAAGGCCTTGCCGTAGTCTACAGGGCCCTATATGAGCTGCCCACCCTCTCTCTTCCCAACCCCCATTACCCGTATGTCACTCTGTTACCCCTCTGTCCACTCACTGTCACTCCTCCAGCCACACTGGCCTCCTTACTGCTCCCCTAAACTGCCAAGCAAGCTTCACCTCAGGGCCTTTGAACTTGCTCTTCCTTTGCCAGGGACACAACTATCCTCAGATAGCTGTGTGTCTTCCTCCCCCATCTCCTTCCAGTCTTTGCTCAAAAGTCACCATCTCTGTGAGGCCTTCCGTGACCACCCCATGTAAGATGGGCACACACACACTATCCTCCCTTACCCTGCTTTATTTTTCTTCACAGCACTTGAGTCACTATTCAGTCAACCATTCATTCATTTAACAATTTTTTATCAAGTGCCTACTATGTGCCAGGCACTGGAGATTCAGCAGTAAAGAAAGCAGACAAATATTCCTGTTCTCATCCTCTGGTAGACTTTATATTCACTTGAATATAAGCTTCATGATGGCAAGGGCTTTGTTTGTTTTGTTCATAACTGTATGCCCAACACCTAACACAGGACTGAAATATAGTAGAAGCCCAACAAACATTTTTTGAAAGAACAGCCTTAGCCATCAGAACCAAATTTAATCTCCGTGTTGGGAGTTCCCTAGCCCTCTCCCCATTAGTCAGATGTATAGCCATATTTGGGAACTACTACACAGAGCAGAGGTTCTCGATCCTGGCTGCACATTGGAATCATCTGGCAAACTTTAAAAGTGGATTCCCAGGCCTCAGCCCCAGAGATTCTGATTGGTCTGGGTTGCAGCCTGGGCCTGGGGAGTTCTAAAGGCTGCCCAGGTGATTTTAATGGATAGCCAACATTGCAAACCATTGACTCTACCTACTCATGTCAGGCCATTCAGAAGCACCCACCCCCCACCTTCCTTTAGATCAGGAGCGCTCAGCCTGGCTGCACGTTAGTCACCTGGATAACTTAGAAAACAGATAAATGCTTGCCCCACCCTCAGGGGTTCCTGGTTCAATTGGGTTGGGGCCAAAGCATGCCTATTTTTAATATTTATCCAGATGGTTCTCTTGTGCTGCTAGTGTTGAGAACCAGTTCTTTAGATTGTCCCTGTCCTGGTTGATCCCTTTAAATATCCTATTTTGCAATGTCTTAATCCATAAGCTGCCTCGAATCCTCTTAGAAGAATTAGAGTCAACTTTTACAATAATACTCCGCCCCATCAATATAAAACACAACTTCTCTCATCTTGCATGCATTTATGCCTCAGTTCATGGATTTGCTACTTCCTTTTTAACTGCTGCCACCATGGAGTGGCTACCCTGCAGCCTGTCCTTCTGGGATCAGGCCGCTTCTGCATCCTAGGTGGTGATAAAGGTCCATAGAGCAGAGCCAGCATCCGAGCCACTGTCCCTGCCCTACCACCTCCGTGCTCCTGCAGCCCCACACGGCCACTGACTTGCTCCACACCTCACAACTGTTAAGAACTATTTAAAGGAAGACTGGGGTAGTGAACTGGACATCCCTTTTCCCCCTTCTCCCCTAAAGAACCCCCCCCCCACCATTATCTTCTCTCAGAGAAGTATCTAAAACATGTCATTTATTCCAAGCCCCAGAAGGGGACGGGGGCACGCATGGCTGGCATTTTTTGCAACCTGGGACACTTGAGCCCTTGAAATGATCCTAAAGGGGCAGTGCATGTCCAAGCCTGGGGCCAATCCTGGGTGTCATAATTGGCAAAAATCATGAGAAGTCATGCCTAGGAACAGCCAAAATCCCAGAGAATTAGTCTTCGAGACTGCAGAGCACCACCACTGGGGTGTACAAATGCCACGTGGTTGTGCTTTGTCCCTTGAGGGTTTCTAGGTACTTCTGGCGTTTGCTGTCCAACAAAGGACAGAGGCTTAAGCTAGTATTTCACCTCTGTCTTGGCAGTTTATCACCCTCTATCAATGCGAAAGTGCTCTGGCCGGCCTGTATTCTTCAAATGATGACACTTCAGGTACAACATATTTATGATTTTCTAATAAAGCTTTCAGTGATGTCATTCTAAATATATTCACTCCCCCTGCAGTGAGTGGCTCCTGCCTTGCACCCTCCTCTGCCACCAATATGGGGTTGCAATAATATTACTATGTATATAGATTGTGATTTGCAAATTGGTATGCAGTTCTCAGTTGAACCTCCCAGCCAAGGGGTGACAGTTCCTAGCAGTAACATTTATCAGGCATTCTGCTAAGTGCTTTTCTCACATCCACCCTGTGAAGCACCATGTCCCAGGGCAGTGTCCCAAAGTGTTGTTCAGTGACGGCTCACTTGTGTCATGATCACCCAGGATGCTTACTATCAATACAGAATCCTGGCCCCTCCCCAGAGCAGCCCGGTTCGTATCTCTGGGAAATGGGATCCAGGCATCTGCATTCTTAACAAGATCTTCAGACTGCAAAAACAAATCTTCATCTTTCCCCTCCAGTGAGATTTCCAGAATATGGCCTTGTAGCGCATGCCTCAATCCTGTAACTAAAAGTCATTGGCTTGCTTTTTCAGACTGTAGATCTCTCCATTCAAGCCTTTGTCTTTGCCTCTGCAGATTTTGACTTTTTCCTGACTAATTTCTAGGTGGTTCTTATTTTGTCAACTACTAGCACAATCCAGTACTGCATTATTACTTTGAAAAGCTAAACTTTTTCCCCTTATTTGGGAGCAAATTTGCTGTCTCCTACCTTACTTTTAATCATAGATTCTTGAGATTCCCAAGGTTATGTGGCTGGAAATTAAAAGCTAGATAACTGCAAAAGCTAGAGGAGAACTTTGTCGTTTACTGGAAACAAGAAAGTCTGTGCTTTATTGCCCTGTGTCTTTTCATGACATCCTGTCATGATGCATCAGCAACACAGATAAATGCTCATTTCTGTTCTTATAGACAGAGTAATCATTCTGTTAACATAAACTATGAGATGATTTGCACAAAACAAGTGGTGCAGAAAAAATGGGTCCAAATGGAGACTCTTATTGGCCACACAAGTCCTTTATAGCTCACACAACAAACAGATCACTTGGGGTCAGTCAACTGAAAATTTACCCAAAGCAAGTCAGAAACGATAACCTTTTTTAATGCACTGCTGCTTTTACCTGGACATTCTGAAACGGATGCTCACACTGTTGAGAACTGGAAGTTACCTTTTCATGTGGAATCAGCTCCTCAGGCTGTTTTGGATGAGGGAGAAGGTACTGCTGAGTGGGCTCGAGAAGCGTCACGTGCAGGGAGCACAGAGCTGCGCACCAGCGCCTGGGCTCTAGTGCCGACTAAGGCCTCTGACATGAGGCATCCAACCTCACTGAATGTCTCTGCTTTCCTTCCCAGGGGGCTCAGAAGGAGCAAATAAAGAGTGTGTTATCATGATGAGTACTGAGTAATATATAGAATTGTTGAATCACTATGCTGTATCCCTGAAAGTCATACGCCACTGTGTATTAACTACCCAGGAATGAAAATTAAAAACTTTTAAAAAGGGAGGGGGGGCACCTGGGTGGCTCAGTCGGTTAAGTGTCTGCCTTCAGCTCAGGTCATGATCCTGGAGTCCCAGGATCGAGTCCTGCATCGGGCTCCCTGCTTAGCGGGGAGTCTGCTTCTTCCTCTGACCCTCCCCCCCAATCATGCTTTCACTCTCTCTCTCAAATAAATAAAATCTTTTTTAAAAAAACTTTAAAAGAAGACTCTTTGTGAAAGCACTTTAAAACTCAAAAGTCATTATATAAATGCTTCTTTCTGAATCCTAAATCATCAACCCCAGCCTGACAGCCTTAATTGGAAAGCCCAATAATAAATGACCAGATTTCTCTTTTTGTTTGTTCACAGATGCTGATAAGCCCAGTACTTCCAAACAAGGTTCTGAAATGATGAAGAAGGTATCATCAGCTCTGTCCAAAGTATTTTCAAGATCTAATGCCAATGTTTCCAAATCTTCCTCACCACCACCCCCCCCCCACCAGGACAGAAGCTGAGGCTGCGACAGCTAACATCAATAAAGGTGCTGACCTTCCCCAAAAATAATAAATGGTTTTTAAAGCATGACATTGTGTCCTACACACTGATTCTTATAAATACTTTTAAATTCTTATAAATAAATAAGAGCAAAGAATGTACAAAAAGGCAGCTGGAAAAAAGAAGGATTTGATAAATGCTTCTGATAGGCATTTGGCACAAAAAGAGGGACTGTGCCTCCCATCGAGATACATCTGCCAGTGGGACTCAATCTCTGCTCTTCAGGGCACTGAAACCTTGCTGGGAAGAGAAGACTAACTTAAAACCAAAAGGAACTGGAATTGAGGCAATCCTCAAAGGGCAGGTAGGTCTGGAAAGCACCAGGAAGGCTTTCACCTCTGGTCCCAGAGCTGCATATAAAGCCACCATGCCTGAATGATCTAATTCAGTGTTGTCCAACAGAATCTTCTATGATGATGGAAATGGCGTACACACACACATAGATATATAGACATACTCCCTCTGGCTACATTTTCATTCCAGTACAGTAGCCGCTAGCTCCACATGGCTATTTAGTCACTAGTGTAAGTAAAGAACTGAATTTTTCATTTTATCTCCATTTAAATAGCCATGAGGAGCTAGCGGCTCCTTCCTTCGATAGTGTCAGTCTAGTTAGTACATGGCTTCATGGGCAGTAGCCCATTCAGATCAGGAGAAGAATTCCCTGAAAGTTCAGTTCCAAAGTCTATCCACAAATACCTAGGGCAAGGCAAGGATCTGACTCCTCAGAGGGGTTTTGAAGCCTCCAGTTACCCTCTTGGCGCCTTCAAGACACATGAACCACCGAAGTGGCCAGAGGGAGCTCATGCTTTCCAGTCATATCTCTGCTCCTGCACTTGCCAAAATTCCATTGATGGGGACACCTGGGTGTCTCAGTGGGTTGAGCGTCCGCCTTTGGCTCAGGTCATGATCCCAGGGTCCTGGGATCGAGTCCCGCATCAGACTCCCTGCTCAGTGAGGAGCCTGCTTCTCCCTCTACCTGCCGCTCCCCCTGCTTCTGATCTCTCTCTGACAAATAAATAAAATCTTAAAAAAAAAAAACTCCATTGATGGAGAAAGGATAGGTCCCTTCTAGAACACCAAAGTCAAGGAATCACAAAGAGCAAATCAGAACCTGTACCTGCCAACTGGCTTCAAACACAGTGTTTGGCTAGAAACTGCTTCCATGAGACAGAAACATCACTCTGGTACTGAAACCACCACTCCGGCCTCCCTCTATGCAGTCAACAGGAAGAGGATCACTCAACTAGTCATTCTCATACCCCAACTTTATCCAAAAAGTTAGGTCAGAGGAAGGTCCCAGCCTTATCCAAAACTCCCTGGGGAAATATTTCCAGGCAAGTAAATTTCTTTTATGTTGTACCTATAGTCCATAAATGTTACGTTAACTGAACTTTTGCAAATAAAACGGCAGGCAGTTCTGCCCAGATATCACCTATTCCCAAGTTGGCCACCTTCATCTGTTCCCTCATTCCTTCCCCTACATACTGAAATTCATCACATGCAGCAGCCTAAGTTTTAAAGTCATTTTGTAATGGTTCACAATAATGACAAATACTAATCTTACATATGGATTTAATTTGTCTTTACTAATAAGTAATACAAATGCAGTTTGGAAGTCAAAAGTACAAATGGTGTGGTGAAAAGTAAGCCTCTCCACCTCTGCTCTTCTAGCTGCTACCTGGCTCTGCTCTCCAGAAGCAATCTCTTTTATCAATGGATCCCTCCTAAAGGCAGAAAACAGAGAAAGGAAGAGGTGGAGGGAGGTGAGAAAGGAAGGAGAGAATGCAACCATGCTATTTGACAGATACTATTGCCTCAAGCCACTGATTTGGTCTGTTTCTACGGTTGCATTTGTAGCTTCAAATAAAGTCGGACCTCGTTTTAAACAAATGTTTTTTGTCAAATGAGCTAAATGCCAAAAGGCGAGCCCCACAATGGGAGGAAAGATGCCTACCATAGTGATTCAAAGCCTGCTGGTCAAAATACACTAAGCATGTTTGAGCTAGTAGCTACACTCCTTGGAGATGGAATCATCTAAATGTAAGGAAATAGATCAAAGTACTAAAAGTAAAAATGCACAGCTTCACTTGCAATGAAAGAAAATGCAAATTAGAATAACCTGAAGTTATCACAATATACCTTCCAGAGAAGAAAAAAGGAAATGATAAATACCAGTGTTGTCCAGAATGTAGGGGAAAAATTATATTTGAACTCTACAGTGCTGATGGTTCCACAAATTTGATCTTTCTGGAAAGCAATCTAACAATAAGACAAGCTATGGTTCTGTCTGCACTTTTGGATCTGGTAACACCCCTTTGGGGAATGTGGTCCGAGGGAATAATACAAAAGGAAAAATTTAAAAAGGACTCTGTATAAAAATGTTCATGACAGTAGTATTAATCATGATGAAAAATTAAAACAATCCAAGTGGGGGAAACTGGACAGCCTATTAACAAGAAAGAATGCTATACAGACACTGAAAATGACAAGGATTAGTGACAACCTAAACAAACAGAAATGCACATTTGAAATAAGCAAAACCAGCCTGCAAAATAAGATGTGTGCTCTAACAACCAGAGTATACTTTATGATTTGGTAATCATATGGCATACTAATAAAAAATCCAAAGAAGTTAGAGATTTAATAATCATGAAGGTTTTTTGCTGTTGTTAGCTACTTGCTAATAAATGCCTTTCTCTTGAAGAAACATCATCGTATTCATCATCGACATCACTTAAGCCACCTGTAACCCTCTTCTAAGCCAAATGGAATGATATCTAATACCTCAGTTTCTTATGAGGCATGACGAAAAGGAAAACATCAGTTCAGACTTTTTAAAATGGCTTCTTTAAAGAGGCTAGGTCATCTCCAATCATCCCCAAGGTACTCTTCTAAAGCCTAAGCTGGCAAAAGGTAGTCACATTTTTGACTGAAGTTCATTGTAGAGAATATACTGGCCTTAAATTAAATATACAATCACAACAGCCATATATCTGCATGATACACATATGTTTTATTTTTAAAATTTTTTTTTCACATATACTTTAGAGTAACAATTAACATATGTCATACAGTTTTGCCCCTTTATAGGACCTGGCACATCATTTCCGTATTTTTAGTGATTTATTTAGAGACCAATGTATCTTTGATGACATACTATTGGTCATATTTAATTTATAGAATACCAAATGCTTATCGTAAATCTAATTGTTGATTATTTCCTACTGAAAACTGACCTGCTCTTATCTATTTTATGACGCAGTTTCCAGTAACACTTGCAGGAATCAGGAGCCACTTATTTAGTAAAGGAAGAATGCTAGGTTAAATCCTTCTAGTGCAAATAATCACACCCCAAATTATGTCTTCAAAGTTTACATTTTCAGATAAAATAAAAGACATCAGGAAACATTTAACTTTATTCTTTGGTCCTAACAGCACAGGGAAGAGCATTTTACACTTCACTAGAATCCCACTTAGATGATGACCAGGTTATTTCTTTCAAAGAGCTTCAAAACATGTTTACAGGAGGGATGTCCTGTACCAGATAAGGATTATCTCCAATTTCGGATTCAATGAGTCCATAAACCGCTGAGATAGATACTTATTAGGTACATGCCCCAATAGGTTAGAGGAAGCAAAAAGGGACAGACAGACAGACTAGGGTGTTAATTAGGCCACCATGAAAGAAAAGCTGATACGGCAAGAACCGAAAAACATCCTTAAAGAGCACTTCATTCAACGTGGCTGTTTAGCCTTGAGATCACTGGGAATTTGCCCACCAATGAATCCAACTGTCCTCTGTGAAGTGAATCCATTAAAGGAACAAGGAAACATTCACTGTTCCCAGCGATCCGCTAAAACCCGTTGCTGGCTGCTTGTGTCAGGCTTGGCTTGCTGCAGCGTGTACGTGCGCCTCTCAGATTTCTGACTGCAGGGGGCGCGGGTGACGAGCGGCTCCGGCTGCGGCCGCGGCAATCCGTTATCCCTGCGTTTCCACGAAGGCCAAGCTTCCGTCAGTGCCCGAATGTGGCAGGGACACTGAGACAGGCTATTCCTGTGAGACGCGGGGTTCCCTTCACAGGCGACTTGGGAGTCAGAGATGCTACCGGGGAAGAAGTCCGGCCTCACAAAGGACAGCAAGGACTAGACCTGTCACCACGTCACAGGGGCAGGAGGTAGACAGTGAGACTTACTGGCTTAGAACAAGACGGCGTATGACAGCACAGCAAACAGCAGCAGCAGGAGAACTGGCGCAGTTGTGCCGGTCCCCCTGTCCCAAGTCCCACAGGACAATGTAATGGGCTCAGGCGGATGCCACCCATGCAGTGGGTTGCATGGCAGCTGAGGAACCCGGGCTCAAGGGCCTGGGACTTTTTGAGCAATGAGCAAACAAACCAGTGTCCCTCCCCTGGGAAGCAAGCAGTTAAACGGTAGTCACACCGTGCTCACCTTGCCCTACAGAAATGGCTCAGTATTTGGAGACCAATAAGCCTGGCTTTAAAAACCCTCACCAAGAACGTGCAAGGATGCTCACGACCCACAGTGGACTGCCTCTCCCAACAGACGCATTTGCTTTGCCAGATGTTCTTAGAACTGCACCGCACAGTCCAAGGTCTTCCCTACCCACCGCTCCGCCCTTCCTGCTCTCCTCCACAGGATTTAGACCTGCACCTAGTCTGTCCGGCAGCTCTCCTTGACTCCTCTGACATCAGGCATTGCCTGCTGGACAGAATGGACACTGTCCTGAGGGGGACAGATGGTCCCAGGCACAGGACGGCAAATTATGTCTTCAAAGGGGGACAGATGGTCCCAGGCACAGGACGGCAGTCCAACTGCTCAGGATTTCTCCGGAGATAACCTGGGAACACTGGGAGAATGGCCTGGCAGATGTGGTGACTCAGATCTTCGAAATACACGAGAAGAATAACACCTAGAGAGACGGTGGAGATGGCTGGACACTGTGAAATTGTACTGGACGCCCTGCAGCCGGGGAACGGAAATGGAGGACAGTTAATAAGGAGCTAAAGACCAAGCGTGAGGGCCAGAGGGCTTCTGCCGGAGCTCACAAAGCCCCTTTCTCCTGCAGTGAAGGAGCAGACCAAGGGAGAACATAATGGAGTGGCCGAACTCAAAGGAGATCAAATACTCAATATTTAACATGTGGCGTGTCTGCTTTGTGCCAGTCAGGGCCACATGATTCCATGTGGTTGGGAAATCCTGGGACCCTGAGACACGGAGCGGGAGCATCTGGCCAGACACTCCTCAGGGTGTTGGCTCTGTGGACACCCCCACCCAGGCTTCAGTTTGCAGAGGGGACCACTCTTCCCTCCTAACAGCTAGCATTTCCTTTGTGCTGGAAGATGCTGCAGAGCCTGTTCCCCCGACAAAGCCACTCGCGTCCCCCTCCAAGAAGTTGTGCCTGGCCCCTCTCCTGGTTACTAAGCTGATAACTAGGATTAAATCCCAGCATAACCTGGCCACGTTAGTCCTGAGCCTAATTAAGAGAAGAAAGTATACACCAAAGAGCTGCAAGAATTAGCTGATGGGTACTGACAGGAGCCACGGAAGCACTGGGGTTGGATTTCAAGGGTGCTATATCAAGAGGGGCAGAAAAGCAAAAATTCAGAGACTCGGGAGCACATTCTCAAAATAGAGATTTAATCCCCTGGCAAGGACCCACAGGGGATACAAAGTCTCTACTAAGTGGTTCTTAGAGGCCTGGAGAAAGTGATGGCTACCACTGAGCAAAGTAGAAATGCCTGAGCTGCCCTGACCAACGGCAAAAGAAAGAATGAAAAGGCAGAAGGAAGCACACATGATGCAGTGGATAAATTGCACGAGGTAAAAAACCCCGTGAGAGGGTAGTGTTCCACGGTGCGGGGGGGGGGGGGGCTCAGCGGGAGGCAGAGGACACCTCATTTACCAAGGTCATCAGGAAGGCTGTGGTAAAAGGGGCAACAGCATCACTACATTCAGAGGTGACCTCCTCTGTAGGCCAGGGATGGCGGTAAGAGACCATCACAGAGCTGGGGCCCAGAGTAAGAGAGACCAGGTGGAGGTGCTACCCACCAGAAGCCAGGAGGCCACAAATACCAAAACAAACCACAAGGCCTGAGGGGCAGCCAAGGAAGCTTTACCCTCAAGGAGTTGCAGAGATGGCAAATGGACTAAGTGTCCCTAGGAATAATACAGATGGACAGCCAGCAAGGGTATTGAGATCTACAAGCTGAAAAAGACAACAGTGGAGGCGCAGGGGTGTGAGGGAGCTTTCCCAATAAAAAGTCCTCTAATTCCTTGCTCCATTTCCAGACTTCAGCTGTTTTCTGACCTCGAAGAGGTAGCTGGGTCCCTAGAAGGAAGGACAATGACGAATATCCCCCCCCCCCAGTACTTCCCCTAACGGGACCTATAGCCACTAACTTCAGTGTATATACACAGTGTACATAGTTGGACATTTGAGGAATACTGGGCTCAAGATCAAAGTTGACATTGATACCTAGAGACCTGAAGCATGACCACGGCCCAGTTAGACTGGGGGCTTCAGGGTTGAGTAATCACTGAAGTCCTGGCCTGAAACAAGACTCACAGGGGGCCGGCAGACCTACCTAGTGGTCATTTCCTACTCCTCGGGGGTGTAACTGGGATTGAGGTGGTGCTTGAGAGTAATGCCCACGGGGGCCCTGGGCCAGTAGGGCGAGAGCTGTCACGGTGAGGAAAGTCAAGTGGGAACCTCTGAAACTGATCCCCTCCCCCAGACACAACAATAAATTGAGATGGTTACTTTTCTGTGTCAACTTGGCTCAGGCTAAGTACTCAACTAGTCAATCAAACATCAATCTAGGTTTTGCTATGAAAGTATTTCATAGTTGTGATTAACATCTACCATTGGTTGATTTTAAGTAAAGGAGATTATCCTTGATAATCAGGGTGGGCCTTGTGCAATCAGTTGAAGAACTTAATAGCAGTTCCCTGAAGAAATTCTGCCTGTGGACGACAGTTTCAGCTCCTGTCCAAGTGTTTCCAGCCTGCCGGCCTGCCCTACAAATTTCAGACTGGCCTAATCAGTCCCTACAACTGCATAATTCAATTCCTTGCCCTACACACACACACACACACACACACACACCTACCTCAGAGCTATTGGGGGTTCAGTTCCAGACCACAATAAAACAAGTCACTTGTATCTTTTCATTTCCCAGTGCATATAAAACTGATGTTTACACTATACTGTAGTCTATTAAGTGTGCAATAACATTATGTGTAAAAAAAAAATGTGCATACCTTAATTTAAAAATACTTTATTGCTAAAAATTACTAACCATCATCTGGGCTTTCAATGAATCATAACCACTGATCACAGATCACCATAACAAATGTAATCATAATGAAAAAGTTTGAAATGTGATTACCAAAATCTGACAGAGAAACGAAGTGAGAAAATGCTGTTGGAAAAATGACACCAAGACTTGTTCGACACAGGGTTGCCACAAACCCTTAATCTGTATAAAAATAACCACAACAGTCATCTGTGAAGCACAATTAAGCAAAGCACAATAAAATGAGGTATGCCTGTAGGCTTTCTCATTAGGAATTGGCTTACAGCAGGATACATATATCCTACTGGTTGTTTTCCTGGTAAAACCCTAATTGATAGATAAATCAAAACAATATTACATCTCAGGGGAGACAGAGTAGATCAGTGCAACTATTAAGACCCTAAAAGACACAGAGAATGGTAGCCCCTATATCTTTGCACCTATAGCCAAATGGGGGTTCCTGTGTGACCAGCAGAGGCAGAAAACAGCTTGAGCTTGGTTTATAGGTGGGTCAGCTCAGTATGTGGGTACAAAGTGAAGATGAATGATATCTGCATTACAGCCACATTCAGGGGTGCAGAAGCAAAACTTTTCTAATGGACAGGACCTCAAGCAGTACACCTGACTTGGTGTAAAAGAAGCGGCCTAACATGAGAATATTTATCGGATATGCAGACTCCTGGGCAGTGGCCAATGGCCTGGCCGTCTCGTTGGGGGACTGGAAGGACCAGGGCTGAAGATCAGAGACAAGGAGAGCTGGTGTGAAGACTGTGGACTGACACGTGGGAGGAGCAAAGTGTGACTAGTTCTGTATCCCATGCTAACAGCCATCAGAGCATCCACCATGGAAGAGGCACTGAACTGGCAAGCAGACACAGTGGCTAAGCCAGGCGCACGGGCCTTTGGTCAGCGGCCACCACACAACTGGCACAAAGGACACATAAACACAGAGCCACACGACTGACAAAGGCCCAAGAGCAAGGACTCCCGCCTCCCAAGGCTGATCTCGCGGGACTCCTCGTGACAGGTGCTCTGCCTCAAGGACTCACCGCATCATTGGTCTGGCTGACCCATTCTCAGAACTCCACAGCAGTGTGAGACTTTTCCTACCCAACCTTCCTTCTTGCCTTCCCTCTTCTCCAGAGGTTAGACCTCTATCAGAGTCTGACTGCTTTCCCAGACTCCTCCAACCTCCTTTCCCACTTTCTTTCATGGGCATTTTCCCCTTAAAAAAAAAAAAAAAAAAAATCTCTCGCACATCTAATCTTGGACCCAAACTAACATACCAGGTAAACTAATTAAATGTGCTCACTATTAAAGCTCTATTCCTTTGTTTTGCAGGGTCAGAAGTTCAATTTTAGTGATTCAGCAGCAGTATTAAAGTCCTGTGAATTAATTCCTGCCTAACTCATAAGGGACTGATTGATAAAATAAAAGGACAAGATTCTCCAAATGAGAAAAAACTGCCAAGGAGACCAGAGAGATATGCAATGAAGCTGACAAAGTATTCCCATCTCAGCAATAACAGCTACTTGAAAAGGAAACTCAGCCCACAAGTAGCCTGGTAGGTCTGAAACTCGGAAAGGGAGCTGGCTAGCCAAAAGGTAGAAACAACCCACATGTCCATCCACTGAGGAATGGACAAACAAAATGTGGTCTATCCATACAATGGGATATTATTCAGCCATAAAAAGGAACGAAGTCCTGGGACGCCTGGGTGGCTCAGTTGGTGAAGCGTCTACCTTCGGCTCACGTCATGATCCCAGGGTCCTGGGATGGAGTCCCACATCGGGCTCCTTGCTTAGCGGGGAGCCTGCTTCTCCCTCTGCCTGCCGCTCCCCCTGCTTGTGCTCTCTCGCTCTGAAAAAATAAATTTTTAAAAATCTTAAAAATAAAAAGGAACAAAGTGCTGATCCATGCTACAACATGGATGAAGCTCAACAACATACTAAGTATGGCCCAGACACAAAAGGGCCACATGTTGTATGATTCCACTTATATAAAATGTCCAGAATAGGTAGTTCCACAGAAATGGAAAGCAGACTGGTAGTCGACAGGGACGAGGAGGAGGGAATGGAGAGTAACTGCTTCATAGGCACAGGGTTTCATTCTGGGGTGATGGAAATGTTTTCGAACTACACAGGAGCGGTAGTTTGGCACACTATGAATGTACCAAATGCCACTGAATTGTTCCCTTCAAAATGGTTAATTTGATGTTATGTGAATTTCACCTCAATAAAAATAAATAAATAAATAAATAAATAAATAGCAAGGAGGTGCATGGATGTTAAAAAAGAGACATTTAAAAAATTTTTTAAAGAGGGTGGGGTGCAGAGGGAGCGGCCTGGCATTGAGAATCACTATCCCATTCACATCGAGCTGTCTAGACCTAGTTAAACCACCCTTCTCTACGCACGGCTGTACCTGCCAACTGGAAAGGTCACCTACACCTCTAGCACAAAGACTAGAATTCTAGAATTGCCTGCTATTTCCCCTTTCCTGGCAATTTCATCATACACTGGGGTCGTAAATTCAAGGACCACATTTATGAAACCAAATTTAGGATACCTCCTCTGGTAAGTACTGAGCATATTCCCAGGAACAATGGATTTCGCTCAAAAATCCAGGCCTATGAGGCTGTTAAAACTACAGCTCTCAATGACTCTAATACTCAAGGGATTGGAAGAATTCGGCCTCAGATATTTTACTTACAGTAACAGTAAAAGCATAACTGAGTACCATTGCATTTTAAAGACCAAGTTCATTTCCAGTTCCAGTTCTACCAGGAAGAGAGAGAGGCCGCTGCTTCAGTGGTGTCTGCGGTCACCGGGGTTAGAGGACTCCTGGTCCCACGAGTGCCGGGCCCTCTTCGGCCTGTGGGACCTCTCTCGGCTCCTACTTCTACTTCGCTGACTACGCCCCTCAGAACGCCCATTGGGCCGGCTGGAGTGTGTGTCTGAGCTTCGGCCCCGGTCTCTATCTCTGTTCTTTTCTTCTCTGGTTGAGGACCTATGTTCATGCTTCGGTTTCTCCTTCTTCGGCTCCCTCTCTCTGTCCCCTGCTCCACCGCGGCAGGTCGCCCTGACCTCGGGAGAGCTGGGCTGGTGCTTCCGCACCTCCCTGGGCTCTGACTTCTGACCCCACTCTGAGTTCTTGTTGCTATGCTTTTTAGAGCCACGGTCATCCTTTTCCTTTACCATCTTGTTTCTGGGTGGCGAAGAGGGGGCTGGCTGCTCCGCCTGTACCTCCCGGTCAGGCTTCTCTTTGTCTTTCTTTCTTCTCTTTTTTTCCTTTTTGTCTGGAGGGAAAAAGGGGCACAACCAATGAGGAAAGGAAGATGGAGGAGGGGAGGGGACGCAAAAGGAAAGCACTGCTGGCAGTGGTGGCAAGCAGTCGTAATCGACACTTCCAGAAAGTGTCTCCGAGAAGCCAACTTGGATGTCTGTCCCCCTTGATATGTCAAGTTGCTGTATAAGGCAATTCTCACCCTTAATTACCTGTCTGAAGACGCTGCCTCCAAATACAGTCACATTCTGAGGCACTGCGGGATTAGGACTTCAACATATGAATTTGGAGGAGACAGAATTCAGCCCTTAATATCAGTCTTCCACTGACACCTCTCCTTTCCCAGTTAAAGTAAGGTTCCCCACACCTTTCCCCTTCATACGTGAGAAATGATTATCAACTCTCAGTGAACGCTAGGAAGAGCAAACACTAAGACTACCCAGAATCTTCTCTTGGGTCTTAACGCTTTACCTTTTTTGTGTTTTTTTGTGGGTTTGTCATCTTCAGAACCTTCAGATGAACTCACTGAGGGGGTGTGAGCCCCACAGCCCCTCTCCTGGAGTTCTTTGGACACATCATCTATTTCTTCAGAGTCCTTGGGAGCTCGATAGTTGGACACATGATCCACTCGAATAGTTCTTCCTTTGATCTAAGACAGACAGGCAGTGCTTCAGCAGAGATGGCCCTCCCGTTGAACTATTTGAACCCAGCTGCAAAATGCCATAGTTTGAACCACACCCTTTACCTTCCTGCTAATTCTATTTCTGGGGAAATTACTCTAAAGGAGACCTGCCCAATTGATGTCACAGCACATATACCTAGATAATAATTTGCTCAGCCCTTGGGGCAGCCAGGTAGGGCCTGGGGCAGCTGGAGTCCCTGAGGCACTTGTACCAGACAGCCTCCTCAGTTTACCCCAGTGTGCCACAGAATAACCTTCATGTTCTACGTGTGCCATTAAGTGAAGAAAGGCTGGGCAGTACTGCCCCAAAGCACAAGCAGCAGGGAAAAATGAGAATTTACATGCATAAACAATGAATTACCCTCAATCTGTAACATTTATTCACAGTAAAACATACTGTGGCCTGGCAGCTAGAAAGAATTCCTGAAATCAAGTGCAGTGCTGCAGCTGTTTTCTTGATACAGCAGTCAGGATGAGGCCAAGGAAGACCAATAGCTAGAAAGGGGGAAGGAAGCTTTTTTCTTAAGCCCTCACACCTTGCTCTACCCCCACCATAATGGACAACTGGCTCACGCTGATATTTTTGCTGTGAATCACAACTCTCTGGGTGAACAACAAAAATTAACCCCTCACTTAAAAACATTCAGGCAGGGCACCTGGGTGGCTCAGTCAGTTGAGCGTCTGCCTTCAGCTCAGGTCACGATCCCAGACCCCCAGGATCGAGCCTCAGGGATCGAGCCCCAGGGATCGAGCCCCATGTCGGGCTCCTTGCTCAGCGGGAAGACTGCTTCCCCCTCTCCTCTGCCCCTCCCCCTGCTCCTTCTGTTTCTCTCTCTCTCTCTCTCTCAAATAAATAAAATCTTAAAAAAATTCAGGCAGATACAGACCTATTCTATAGGCAAAATCATCCAAAATTTTAAAAGTCTGGCTTTTATTGTTCCCACACAAGAGCATATTTTTATTCTTACCTTTAAGCCTGAGCAGTTGGTCATCTTTCCTATTCCCCTTTTGAAAACATTTTTGAAAACCTCTCTTTTATGGTGACTCCATTTGACTGCTGGCTCTCTTAAAAATCAAGCCTAGTACCTTGTTCCACCCTGTCCTATAATCACCAGCTATTCCATACTGGTGCAATCAGTAACAAACTCTCCAAATCAAAAGTCACACCCCCCCCCAAGTTATGACAATGCTTAACCAACTGCAGTGCTTTTCCTAAATAAGCATCGGAACCAGGTAGAGCATACATAAGCCTGACTTGCCCATCACCTTCTCTCAGGCCAAGGGTGCAGTAAGAGCGAACAGAGGAGAAACAACTTCAGAATGAGTTACTTTTGTAGAATTTGTCATCAGACTTTTAACTAGAGAATTTCCAGGGCCCAGCAATGCTAAGTCAGTGGAGATATATGATAGACCCACAAAGCTATGTCTTAGAGCATGAAGCCATGAGAGAGCCCCAAATCCCCTGACAGAGCATAGCATGGAAGTCTCTTTGTTGCCCAATACATCAGAGATGAGAGTGGGGTTTGAGAATGGAAAGGTGAGAAACCAGAGGCTTGGGCGGGAGTGGGGGGCATGGTACCTATGCTCCTGGGAAGATGAACATGAGGAAAAGGAACAAGTGTTAGCAGGGTCATACGCCAATGAAATTATTTCCTGGGATCATTTCCTGGTCAGTATGTCCCCACACCTCTGCGACTCTCTCAACGCACCCAGGTGACCAGTACTGCCCTTGAACCTGTGGCAATTAGGTGGGAAATTAAACCGAACCCTTACATACAGGTAAAGTCCAGCCAAATCCTGCTTAGTGAACACACTCACCTTGATCCCATTAAAATTGTCAACAGCCAGAATTGTGCTCCTCTGGTCTTCATAGCAAAGGAAACAGAATCCTTTGGATTTCCCAGTCTTCTTGTCCCGCACCAGATTAATGTTAACAATCTCCCCATATCTATTTATTTTATAAAAGAGTAAGACACTATTGATTTAAAATGCAAAAACTTTCAGACTGAATGACAAAACAAAATTCAAATAATATAATCTGTACAGGAGACACATCTAGAACAAGATAACATAAAAAGGTTAAAAATAAAAATTAGACGAGGACAGAGCAGGAACACCCAATTACAAAATGGGTGGTAATATTAAGATCAAAGATGAATTCAAGGCCAAAAAAGATATTTAAATGGGACTAAGAGAGCTCTTTTACACTGAAAAAGGTCCTGATATATTACAAAGATATGTCGTGAACCTTTATGCATAAGCTCACAAATCAAAAATTTAATTAAAGAAACTATTAAAAATACAGAGAAACTGGTAACAAAGGTTATGAGATATTTTAACATACTACTTAAGTTTATAACACATAAAATTGGTAAAAATAAGGTCAGATGAATTAGTATCAATATATAATTATATAACATAAATATAAATAAATAACAATTATGTTAACAAATATTAATGTCAAACCAGTGGATATATAGATATATTTGAATCTTACAAAAAGAGGACAATTTCTTCTCAAGAATCCATGAAATATGTATTAAAATTGACTACAAAATAATCCTCAATAACTTCTAAAAACAGAACAGAATATGTTCTCCAATCACAATGCTCTCCAGCTGGAAATAATATTTTAAATAAAAAATACCCTACTAGCTAGAACTTGAAACCTACTCTCCTAGCTAACAACTGGATGAAAGTGAAATAAAGAAAAAAATCAACAGCAGATTACTTAAAAAATAACAAAAATGAGAAGAATATATACCAAAACTTATGGGATGCAGCTAAAACCACACTCAGAAAAATCTGTAACCTTAGAGAATTTTACTGTTAAAAAGGCAGAATGAATATAAAAGAAAACAAATCGAAGGAAAGCAGATGGGAGTTAATAAAGATAAAAGCAGAAATTAAGAGAAAATAGAAAAAAATTCAACCTTACTCCTTATACAAAGTTAAATTCCAGATAAGTTAAAGATTCATAAATTAAAAAGTAAAGTCATAAAAATAAAATAGGAATTGGTGGATACTTAATAACATGATCACATACATACATTCCGGCCAGATATCTAGCATCTTACCTAACAGAAAATACAGTAGCATCTTACCTAACAGAAAATACAGGTTTCTCCTGCTACCCGAATGTTCATTTTATGTCACTTCGCTTTTACAAAAGACCTACATTAGTACCTGCTTTCACTAACCGAAAGAAAGCTGAAGAGGATTTTCACTCTTATGACATGGTAACTGCTTCATCACTTTATGCCGTTTTAGCTTAGAAAGCTTTCACAGAACACTCTACCTCCGGATAGCAGGGGAAACCTGTACTGGAGCTGATTCAACTAAGGTCAGGAACTATTTAACACTATTTAACATTGTAGGTATAGGCCAGTGCAATTAGACAGGAGAAAACAGATGTAAAAAAATGAAAAAGTAAAACTATCTCTATTTGAAGATTTATATATAATAGTATGTATAGAAAACCCAAGAGAATTAATGATAAACAATGATAAAAAACAAACAGTAGAATAATTCAGTAAGGTAATAGGATATAAAGTTAAAAAAATAAAACACTCTCTTACAAAAACAATAATCAGTTAGAAGATATAACCAAAGAGAAACCCCATTTGTATTAGCAACAAAAAACTTAAAATACTTAGAAATAAACTTAGCAACAAGCAATGTACAAAGTCTATATAGAGAAAATTTTTTAAAACTGAAAGACACACACACAGATTTGAACAAATATAAAGACATCCCCTGTTTTTGGATAGGATGACTCAACATCTTAAAGACAGCAACATCTTCCCCCAAGTTAATACTTAAATTTAATGTAGTACAAGTTGTGTTTTACTTTCCTGGAGCTGGATAAGTTGATTCTAAAGTTCTCATGGAAAAATGAACATGTAAGAGTAGATGGAAAAACTTTAAAAAAGGAACAATGAGGGAGAGTAACTCTCCCAGATACTAAACACACTGAAAACACTGTGATTAATTAGTGTGGTACTGGCACATGAAGAGACAGACAGACCAATAGAACAGAATAGAAAGCCAAGAAAGAGACTCAAGTATATATGGAAAAATTAGTAAGATGATATGGGTGACATCCCAATTTGCTGGGGGAAAATATGAACTTTTTTATAAATGTTGGGACAACTGGATAGCCATTGAAAAAACATGAAATTGGATCCGTGTCTCACACTATACATCAGAATAACTGTAAATGGATCAGAGATTTCAATGCATAAAATTGAAACCATACAAGTACTAGAAGGGAACACAGATGGGTGGGTGGGGAGAAATACTATCTAATTATGACTCAAAATCCAGAAGCAACAAAAAAAGACTGATAAATCTGACCATATAAAACACTAGAGTGTGAGACTATACAGGGTCTGCACAAAGGAGTTTTTGGGGGGGATGGAATTGTTCTTCATCCTAACTGTGGGGGTGACTACACAAATCTATACACGTATTAAAGCTCACAGGACTGTACACTCCCTAAAAAAAGTCAATTTTACCATATAATTTAAACACATGAATAAATTTTTTTAAATTTTGCACAGCAAAAACAAAAAAAAAAAAAAAAACAACCCACAACAAAGTCAAAAGACAAATGACAAAATAGGAGAAAATATTTACAACTCATATCACAGATAAAGGACCAGAAAGTAATTTTTTTCCTTTTTGCTATAAAGAACATCATCAGGACAACTGGTAAAACTGAATAAAGTCTATGGATTAGATCAGTGTTAACTTCCTGAATTTAATCACCATACCGAGGTTAAACAAGAGAATGCTCTTGTTTTGGGGGGAAACAAATATTGAAGAATTTAGGGATAAATGGGCATCATGCCTGCAACTGACTCTCAAACGGTTCAGAAAAAAATAATAGGTATACGTGGGGAGAAATGACAAAGCAAATGTAGTAAAATGTTAACATCTAGGGATTCTAAGCGAAGGGGAAACAGGTATTCTTTACACTACTTTATAACTTTCCTATTTTAAGCCTGAGATTATTTCCAAATAAAAAGTAAAGAGAATATAGAAACTCGTTTAAATGGACTCCTACAGACCAAATTGGGACAATCTGAGCATCAAGAAATAATAATGATGGCAATGTAGTAAAACACATCAAATTAAGTAAAATAAGTCCACAGTAACACAATACATGACAAAGTGGTATAACAGAGTTGAAACCATTAAGAGCTTTTGTAAAATCACTAAGAATATGAGGAACACATCAACAGAAGAAAACAAGCAAAGGATATGAAAAGACAACTTACAAAAAACAAGAAATAATGGCATGTAAATCTATGAAAAGATGTTCTACTTCACTGATAATTAAATAAAGGCAAAGTAAACTCATAATGAGAAACCATATGACAAATATTTTTTTAAAATAACCACTGCCAATTAGGATTCAGAAAAATGGGCATTCTAGTGAGAGTAGAAACTGATACAACCTTCTCAGAGAGCAATTTGGCCATATTTACAAAACATCTTAAAAATGCTGATCTAGTAATTTCACTAAGGAAATTATCAGCAATGCATACAAAGGATGTATATACTAAATATGTATATACATATACTATAATGTATATACTGAATATATATGTATACATATAGTGTGTGTGTATATATATATACACTAAAATGCAATACAATTTATAACAGCAAATAATGCCCAACATTTAAAAAAAAAAGATGATAAAGAAATACACCAAAATGTCAAGTTTTTCCTTAAAGTACATTCTGGTTTCTTCTCTATGCTTTCCCTTTTTGCCAAATGTTCTATAGTGATTACACATTACCTTGATAATCAGAAAACAAAACATTTTTTGAAAACCACTGTTACCAACGGCAAAGGCAATCTTCATGGAGAGCAATGTGTACAGCCAGAAGAGAGAATTAGAATAAACAAACACACTAGCTGATCATCACTCAATGCAAATAAGACAAAAACAGCCTCTAGATGGAAGGCTGGACCAGGCAGAGGTATCATAAGGGGTGGAAATTACAGGCTGCACCCGCTGTGACCTTCCAGCTCCCCAGAAGTAGGAGGAAACAGCCTCTGTCCCTTTCTGGGCGCTTTGCAGTGTGGGCTGCGGAGGCCCTCTCCCATGGCCTTCAATGTGTATTGCCCAATTGCGTTCCCATGGCCCTCTCCCCCATATGCTGCCCGACCACTCAGCCAGGGTCCTCCTCCTATCGGACGGCCCAACCATCCCCTGCCATGGCTGGCTGTGTTTGCTTCCCCAAACCCTTCCGCCGCGGTCCTCTGCCTGTACATGCTGTCCAACTTCTCTGCAACAGTCCTCTGCCCTCAGGGCCCCTCTGGCCTTACAGACTGTCTAACCACTCCGTGTAGCTCTGGGTTGGGCCCAGCCCCTCTCTACCAGCTGCCACAACCAGAGCAAGCTGCCAAGACGCTCTCCCACCCAATGCTGCTGCTTTCATCTCATAGCGGAATGAAGAATATATGGTTGACCTATTCATTCTTGTTCCTCAACAGCCTGTAATTCTCAGCTTCTGGGTAAAGAGACTGGCTCTGCTCAGTAACCTTATGCTCATCTAGAAACAAAGAAAACAAACTACTGCCTAAACCTTTTGCTTTTTCTCCCATTCTTCTGTGCTTTGCCCTAATCCTGCAACACCACACAGGTGTAAGCCAGAAGGGCTCTGTGATCATGGATAACCCTTAGTTTGCAGGAGCCCAAAGAGCCCAACATGGTAGCTTCCTGTGAGTTCCAGTCTGTTCTGGTGTTGGCCCAGGCTGAACAAGCCTCACTGAAGAAGCAATAAAAACAGACCAGAATCCCCAAGACAGCTTCCTAAATCATCCAACTTCTTGGATTGTCCATATTGGAAGAGTTCTACAACCATGTCCTGGGGCTCATCTAGACTAGAGCAGAAGCTCCAGCCCTCCCCATGCAGGGAGGCCAGTGAGCCTACAATAAAATAAATGGATTCTGTGATGCCACAAAATGCATTATGGAAGCATACTCTGGTGACCCAGAAGGCAGGAAATGAAAAAAAACTTACTGTGAGAACACACAGATGATGTCCCCTTCAGTCAGTTCATAAGGAAGCCCTCCTAGAAGGGAAAACCACATTTCAGTTCCACAAACATTTACCAAGCGTCTACTACATACCATGCACTAGGCCCGGCACTGGGGGGTGCAAAGAGGAGTAAGCCACAGAGCCTGCCCTCAAAGAACTCACAGTCTGATGACACAACAGAAGCATACATAAGGTGCAGCATTAGTGCAGCAAAAGGAGTGATTAACTTTGTGGAAAGGTTGGTGTCCCCACTAACCAAATACTCCTCACACCCAAAATCTTATGGACAAAGCAGATAGTTGCTGGCATAAAACTCTGCTTCGACAAACATATCTTGAACTCACCTGCTCTTTACCCACAAATTCACAGCTAAGATCCAAAAATCAGTTTAAATATGAAAATATTAACCCCACCTCACATAGACTAAGGAGTTTATAATCCTTAGTTGTCTTTATAGACAACTGTTCAGCATTTCATAGGAAATAAATTCCCCTGCAAATCTTTCCTTCCTCATCTGTAAAATGGGGACTTTGGTACTTACTTCACAGAATTGTAAGAATTAAATAAAACAATGGATATAAAGTGCTTAGCACAATATAACAGAACAAACTGTCAAATTACTGGAAGTGACACAAAGTGAATATAGAGATGACAATATGGCCATGGGCAGAAGGCAGGAACTAATTAGATGAGGAAAATGAATTCTGATGGAAGGGGAAAGGGCAGGGGACTAGCAGTAATACAGGATCGTGCCTGAGACCATGAGTTCTAGAATCCCATAGTGCTGGTTGTCCCACTTACTAGCTATGTGACCTTACGTAAGTCCATTAACTTCCCTGCACCTGTTTCCTCAGCTCTGTAATGGACGCGGTATAACAATGGTCTCTGAAACCAAGAAACCAAGTGGCAAGACTCTTACCACAGTGAATGGCAAAGGGTAACTATCACGGACACTGGCTTGGCAGGCGGAGCAGACTAAAAATGGGAGAGAAAAGAGATACGGAAAACGGATTTACGGGGCAGCCAGCAGAAGGAAATAAAAGTGCGTGATGAATGCCGGGAGGAATGAAAGGCGGGAATACTGAAAGGTTAGGAAGTAGGCCAGGAGAGGAGGAGGAGCCGTGCAGGGGAAAGATGTGGACCTCACCCAGGAAGATCCAGGCGCTGTCTTTGTACTCGGAGTGCCAGGACACCTTATCTGCCACCCCAAGCTGGACCTCACGCTCATTCAGCTCGTTGATCAGCTTCACTTTAGTTAAAGGGCTGCAGAGAGGGCGGAAAACCGGACCTTAAGTGCGGCCTGGCCAGAGGTAAGGGTGAGCAAAACTAGGGGACTAGTTTCCAGTCTCCACGCCTCTCCCGCCCCTCGGCCCGGCAGACGCTCTACCACCCCAGCCCTGGTGGGCCACCTCCCGCGGCCCGTCCCTACTTCTTCAGAGGTAAACGGAGTCCTTACTTCATCTTCTCAGGTTCGCGCTCAGTACCGAGACCCTGACTTCCGGGCGAGTCTGCACCGCGCGTGCGCAGCCCCGACGCAGCGCTCCCATTGGACTCCGCGGAGCTCGCGTCGCGCCGGAAGAGCTGGGCCGCGCCGGGGTGTGGCGCTTGCGCACTAGCGCGGAAAGGGACTCCTCGCTCTGCGTGTTTCGCTCCGCCAGAGAATTTTTGTCTAGTCCCTCGGTCCGTCCCTCTGTGGGACGGGGACGTGGGTGTGAGCCGGGTTTATTATAGGACCCTCAGCCCCCGCACGACGCCTGGCATTGATTGGGCTAGCTATAAATGTTTGCTGAATAAAGACTGAAAAATGTGCCCGTTATGGCGACTTAAGTCCCAGCCTTTGCTTGCTCTCAGTGCAAATCCCTACTGGGGCTTCATTCCCAGCCAATTGCTCACGCACACACACCCATCAAAGCATCCCTGTTCAGGAATTACAGCAGAAAAGTGAAGAAGATATGAGAGGGTAAATCTTTTTTTTTCTTCCTCAAATTCAAATGCACAGGCAACTGACCAGTGTGCCTCCATAGGCTGAATTGAATACCCAGATTTGTGTTAAGAGCTGTTACCCTCAGCCACCCTTTTCCATTGTCTCGCTCCTACTTAAGCAGGAGGCAGAAAGAAATAGTGAAAAAGCTAATAATTGAGCAGATGCTAGGTTGTGTGCTAAGAAATTCACATGTACTGGCCCTCCATCCTCACAACCACCCCCATAGAGTCTATACATACAATTACCCTCCTCATTTTACAGAGGAAGAAACTGAGATTCAAAGGAGTTAATTAGTTAATTCAAAGGAGGTACTCTGCCTCTACCTATCAGGTCTGGTTGATTTAATCAGTTCTTACTGAGTATCTATATTTGTCCTATAAGGCATGTCTGTAGACAGGAATGTAAGGTGAGGTTCTCTGCCCGAAGGAGCTAATATCTTTGAGGAGACAAGATAAATTTGCTTGGTAGATTTCACTCCAGAAATAACCAGGAATCCATAGAAGAGATGGTGGCATATAATGTGTGATTTAAGCCATATTGAAGCTTTGACTCTGTCTCGCATGTGTCCTCATCAATAACTGGTATCAGACCATGCATGGTATAAAAGTGAAGTTCCAGAGCTGTGTAGTTCTCTTTGTAAGCCTAGCTCAGAACCCCAGAAATTAGGCACTTCACCAAGTACTCTGATGATGATGGTGATGATGACAACTCTACCCTCAATGACTCACCATCTACCCATGTCCTGCCAAAAAGCAGGAAACTCCCCACCAATGACAGTTTCTCTTCATTCATTCTGTGTTTGTGCCCCTCCCCCAGTCCAAACCAGCTATTCATTAACTTTGTGAAATTATCTTGGCAATGAAAACTAAACAGTGACAGATTGCATACAGGTTTCATCTGCTCCTGGGAATCTTGGGTTGCTTAGTTGTAGGGTTGAAGTAGCCACTGCAAAGTGGTAAACTAGCATGCAGCATTATCTGGCTGGATTCTTCAGGCAACTGTGAAATGAGAGAAATAGGGCTAAACCTGTGTCTTGGTCATCAGGAGGGTTCAAAAGGAAGCTGAAGTGAAAGAGGAGATTAAGACCAACCAAAGGGAAGGACAGTTTAGTTGGAGGAGGGCGTGGGAAGATTGCTACTATCTAGCTAGTAGGTTCAGCAGAGATATTCTGAACCCGGGAGAACTTAAAACCATCCCAGGTTACCCGGGACATCTCCATTAACATGCTTCCAATTGGTAGGAATTGGTAGGTAAGATGATGCCTAGAGATATCCACAAGTGTAAGTGGAAAGGGGATGAGGATCGAGGGGACCCTCTGATCTTAGCATCTGAGAGGAGGACCAGGGTTTGCTATTCAAGGTGGCTACTAGTGATCTCCACCAGTAACATTGATTTAGCACCCACTGGATGGACAGCTCAGGTCTAGGTCCTCTGGGCAATGTTAAGGAAGCCAAAGGCAATCCTCACATTCAAGGCAAGGCCAAGCAACATGTCCAGCCAATTTCATCTCTTCACTTCCCACCACACCACATCCCAAAACAGCTTTCCCTCCTGACTTCCCTATTTCAAGCAATGCTATCACCATTTTCCTGGTTGCCCAGGTACAAAACAGGGGTTTCATATTTCAGTCATCCTTATTCCTCACCCAAAGATATCTATCAAATCACTAAGTCCTAATAATTGTGCTACTGCAGTGTCTATAAAATGCATCTCATCTAGTCACAGTTCTGTTTCTTTTTTAAAAAAGATTTTATTTATTTACTTATTTATTTGAGAGACAGAGCACGAGTGGAAGGGGAGGGGTGGAGGGAGAAGCAGGCTCCCTGCTGAGCAGGGAGCCAGACACGGGGCTCAATCCCAGGACCCCAGGATCATGACGTGAGATGAAGGCAGATGCCTAACCGACTGAGCCACCCAGGCGCCCCAACAGTTCTGTTTCATTATCACATGCCTTCTAGTTCTTTCACTACTCGTAGAACTGCCTTGGCCCCTATTCTCCTGTCTTTCCTCCCACTGCTCCCCAACACAAAGCCTCAACTTCAGCCAGGTTTCACTTCTATCCATTTCCTCAGGGGCTCCTTTCATTTCCAACCTAGACACCCTGCTGGGAGAGCCCCACACCCCTGGACGGCTCTTCTCTCTCTGAAATCTGCCCAAGCTCCAAACCCCCATCCAGGCACCCCTTAAGCAGGAAACATTTCCTGACCTCATCAGTACACAGTGATGGTTCCCACTTCTGAACTCTGCAGCACATCATAACATTTTCATGTTATCTCCCCAGAAAGAGTGTGAGATCCTGGAAAAGAAAGGTTCTTTCTTTTTAAGCCCTCAGCACCTCAAACACCTTTCTGCACACATAGCAAGCAACCAATACAACTATTGGTTAATGAAATTGAAAACACACAGAGCTATGGTTACCTTTGGGGAAGCAGATGAGGAAAGGAGGAGAGAAGCCTTTACTTACCCTTTGTTTCTTTCTATACTGTTAGAATTTTCTTCCCTGGGCGCCTGGGTGGCTCAGATGGTTAAGCGTCTGCCTTCGGCTCAGGTCATGATCTCAGGGTCCTGGGATCGAGTACCACATCGGGTTCCCTGCTCAGTGCAGAGCCTGCTTCTCCCTCTCCCTCTGCCACTCCCTCTGCTTGTGCTCTTCTGTCTATCTCTCTGTCAAATAAATAAATAAAATCTAAAAAAAAAGAAAAAAAGAATTTTCTTCCCTTTATCCAGATTATCACTTACATTTTTTATTTTTATTTTTTAAAAGATTTTACTTATTTTACTTGACAGAGAGCACACGCAGGGGGAGCGGCAGGCAGAGGAAGAAGGAGAAGCAGGCTCCCTGCTGAGCAGAGAGCCCAATGCAGGGCTTGATCCCAGAACCCTGGGATCATGACCTGAGCCAAAGGCAGACGCTTAACCAACTGATCCACCCAGTTGCCCCATCACTTACATTTTTTATTGCCATGTTATCTTGGCAGACCTTTATTTTCTCACTTTTGTCTTTTGTTCATTCAACAAATATTTACTGAACAACTTTTACATGCTAGACACTGTTCTAGGTGCTAGGGTTATAACAATAAATAAGGCAAGGAGAGTTCCTTTCCTCATGGAGTTTACATTCTTGGGGAAGAAGGAAAATAAACATATAAATATACATCCAACGTTGAAAAGTGCTATAAAGGGTAAGGGGACAGAGAGTGACAAAGTTTTGCTATTTTAAAAAGGTGATGGGTCAAAGAAGCCCTCCCTGATAAGGTGGTAGAAGCACCTCTAGGTTTTCAGTGTTTCTGCCTACTTATTTCAATCGGTCCAAAACAATGTCTGTTCCTTAATTATAGGTTGTCTGGAGGAATAGAGAATAAGAAATGATGGGTTGTGTTAATAGCATGGAGGCAGAGACCTGCAAGAAGATGGGGAGCAAGTCATGGGGATGTTCAGGAGAGGAATGTTCAGGCAGAGTGAACAGTAAGTGCAAAGGTCCTGAGACAGGAGTGTGTTTGAGAAACAATAAGGAGGCCAGAGTGGCTAGAGAGGAGCGGGCAAGAAAGAGAATGACAGATTTTTGTTTATTTAACAAAATCTGATTTAATACCCACCATGTACCAGACATTGTTCTAGGTACTTTATATACATTAACACATTTACTTCTCACAACAATCCTATGTGGTAGATACTATGACCCCATGTTGCAGATGAGGAAATTGGGGCGCAGAGAGGTCATTTGCCCTATGTCACACAGCTGGTCAATGGTAGAGCCAGGATTTGAATCCAGGTGGTATGGCTCCAACGTCTGCACCCTTAGATAAGTGGGGTAAGAGGAACAGATCAGGCAGGGGCATGTTGGGTATCAACTTTAGATTTGACTCAGTGTGAGGTGAGAAACCAACAAAGCATTCTGAGCTGGCTTACAATTTAGCAGGATGACCTTGGCTGCAAACTGTGGGTTGGAGAGAGTGCCTAGGGTAGAGTCAGGGAGACTAGGAAGCCTTGCAATAATTCAGGCAAGAGATGATGGTGGTTTGCCTCAGGGAGCAGCTAAGGAGAGGGTGGCCCATGTTGGTATTTTTTAAACTAAAAAATATATTAAAAAGAATAAAGAACACACATGACATCAACAGAAAGGTATATTATGTTTATGAGTGCTCGGGTGCTGGGCTAGATGCTGAGGATACTACAGTAAACAAGATCACAAGACCCAGTCCCTGCCCTTGAACAGCTCACAAAGTTGCCAGATAGTTGTATATGTGAATAAACATAATACAAAGGGATGAGGGTCAAAATGAAGGTGTGAGTGAAATGTCATTGGAACCAGTTGAGGAATCAATTAATTCTGACTACTGGGAGTCAGAGGGAGGTGGGGGTGGAAAGCAGAGTGTCAGGGAAAGCTACAGTGCAGCAGGGGACAGTTGAAAGGCAGGGAGGAAGACTGGGGTGGGAGAAAACAGATGAATTTGGTTGGCAAATTGTTGAGTTTAAAGCACCCAAGGAGCCAACAAAGGAGACCAAGGAGGAGGAGGACAGATGAAGATGAAGCAGCAGGAGAAAGTAGGATTCAAGA